TGGCGGGGCGGGCGTCCCCCCCCGCCCTGCCGCGGCCCCCCGAGCCGGCTGCGCGCCAGCAGAGGCACCGGCAGCTTTCCCTGCGTGGGGCGGAATCGGGCTTCCTCGCTTGCTGATTTTTTTGTAGCAACGGTGTCAGCGCCTTTTCCTGCTTCCCCGACAGCAACCATCATCTGGTTCTGATGGTGAGCCTGGCCCCGTGAAACAAATCGCATGTCTTGTCTTCTGCTCGCTCGTAATTTTCTCCTCCGGTTATTTCACTGCTCGTTTGGCCACAATGGTTTCAACACATCGCTCGCCCTTCCCACCATCGCTCCTCAGCAGCTGAGGAGTGAAAACCGCGGTGAGTCTTTGCTCCACTGGCACTCAAAGGTAATGAGGGGCAGGCAAACCCGCCGCTCAATCCGCACGCCGGCTATCCCAGCCAAATTTGGGTTTAATTTTCTCATGTTGGGCTGGAAACAGTTACTGTCCTTGCAGCCTCAGAAGCGCTGAGCCTCTCCTTAACGCTCCCTCCAAGCTCCTTGCCCTCCCCGGCTAAATCTTCTGGTTCTGCCCCTGCTCTACTTCCCTCCTTCACTTTGGCTCCACCACCCCACCCCTGCTGCTCACCGCGGCCCCCAGCACCGCTCCCGCTGGCACCCAGAGCTGTGGTGCCTGCTGCTGTCACAGCACCAGCTCCTGGAGTCCTGTGAATACCCTGCAGTCTCAGCTTGGTTACAGAGATAAGTCGGGCGAAGTGCCCCCAAGGGCTGAAAAGCCAGAAAGCAAATGAAAAGGAGCCAAACACACTTTTTAAAATCTCCGTGATGTTTTAAGACCTGACATAATTTTGGCCTCTGTCTCAGATCTCCAGTGCTTGGAGCTAATACCATTGCTGTCTCCCGTCATCCTGTCCCTCTTCTGCTTCTCTTTTAATTATTTTTATTATTGTGCCAGTTCATTCTGCCCTTTATCTGCCTACGCCTCCTCTTCCAGCTCGCGCTCCCCTGAGCTCTGGTTGTTCAAAGCTCTCCAAGCCTGTGTTTGGCCTCATCTTTCGCCGCCGCCTCCGCCACCCCTCCTGCTTTCCAAGTCCCTCTCCTACTTTCAGCAACCTAATGGTGAGTCCAGGACACCAAGGCTTTGCAGCTGCTGCTCCTGAGAGTCGGAAGGAAAGAAAGAAAGAAGAGATTTCCTCTTCCAAACCTGTTGGTCTTCCAGATGTGCATAGTGTCAGGGTCTGTGATCCCTCTTTTCTCTGCTTGCTCCTCTAGGAAGTCAAAGAAGTACTTCACAGCCACCGGTGGTTTATCATCTCGGATACTGAGAATGGCTTTGAACAAGTCGTCCAGAAACTTCTGCAGCGTGCCCTGCAGGACAAGCACACACGATGGAGATGGGAAAGCAGCAGCACCCAAGCCCAGCAAAACAGCATCGGGGGCTGCGACTGCCGTGTACAAGGGGAAATCCTTTTCTGCCAGTTGGATAAATCAGAAGAGAAAGGGGATGCCGAAGAAGGGAGGGAAAGGTTGGTTCGTGCATAGCAATACAATTAGCTTGCATTTGGATTTAATTTCTTTTGGCATTGAGATTTTTTTTCTTACTGCGAGGATCTCACATCTGCGATTGTTCTGCGCAGCAAATACAAAGATGACTGGAGGCTGCTGGCCCTTCTTGTGATCTCTGCTCCAGTGAGGCATCATGCTGGGATTAAAGATGGGCTGGGAGCCCAACCACTGGAGCTGAGCACTCACAGGGAGTGGGCAAGCCCAGATCTGAATTGAGATCACACAGACGCTCCCCCGGCTCCCAGAGCTGAGCATCTCCATCTCCTTTCCCAGCAGGATCTCTCGCTGGGGAGGTGGGTTCAGGCCTGAACTGTGCATCACGAGCCCCGAGGCGGTCAGCACCGCTTTCATGTGCGCAGACCCCAGACCAGCGGGGATACCGTGTGGGGCTGCTCCGAGGGCAAGCTGGGAAGCTGGAGGGAAGCCCAGGAGGCAGTGGTGCCCGGCAGCCTCGCTGAACACACTCCCGCTGGCCAGCAGCCGGCCAGCAGTCCCGCTGCCTCTGGAGAGCGACCGGCCCCGCAGCGCTCCTTCCCTGGCGCTGCAGACCACAAACCACAGTCCCACCTGCCGCGAAGGAGCGTGTCCCGTCTCCTACCTTCGTGGAGAGCAGCCTGGTCAGGTAGATCTCCGGTAGGACTTTCTTCCTATGGCTCTGTCTGTGGGATTTCTTATGTTCAACTGACTCATCGGTTGGGAGAACCTGGTGCGATACAAAACACATGTTCAGCGCGCTCTTCTCTGGAAGTGTCACACTGAATTTTCCTTTCAGTATAGAATTTCAACTGCATATAAAACTCAATTAAAAAGCAGTTACTGTGTTATAAATACACCCTTATATGGCTTTAAAATGGTGATTTATAATACTCGGGTTTTTTGACATTTGTTTCTCTTGCACTCTTTATTGTCTCTCTCAAGCTAGACAAAGAAAATGAAACAATCCATCTCACTTTGCACGTCCGTCTGCTCACCTTCCTGCGCTCTGCGCGCTACCCCGTGCGGCTGCACTTTAGGCACAAGGCTTCCGCGGAAACCAGCTTTCCTTACATTTGGAAAAAGTGCAAGAACGATCAGACAGTATTCCTCCCCTGGCCTTTTTAAAAACAAAACATAAATATTCCACTGGTCAGGTCAGCTAATTACTGCTCTATAATGACGCAGAAGCCATTTAAGTCCATCTTGGCATCGTTCCACACGTGCACATTCAATTTCCCGTCCCTTCTCCCTCCTTGCTCTCCGTGTACGTGTGTGTGTGTGTGCACACGCGTGCATGTGTTGCGTGTTTGTACTTTATTTGAGCACGGAAACCTTACCAGAGAAAAAAACATCAGGCCATAAAATATTGTTGCTGTCCATAACACTTTTTTCATAACAGCTTTTAGCAACATTTAGCACTTTGTACTTCCAGCGTGGTGCACAAGCAGGAACTAATAAATCTCGCTGGCCCTGGGAAGCGGGCAGCATGCCAGGAGCTCCCGGTAGGTGACTTGACCAAGGCTGTGCGGGTGCTACCAGCGGTGCTGCGGCGCGCTCTGACCGCGCGGCTGAACCCTCTGTGGCTGCTGACAGCTAGATCACGCACTACAATTACTTTGCCATCCTGGTAATTTTTTATTACGTCCCAAAGTACTACAGCTTGTCTACAGATAACCTTTCTGCATCTCTTTGAGCCTCTCTGAAGAAAACTAACGAGCCCTGATCCAGCTTGTTCATCACATCTGACGTTCCAGCCCGGAGAGATGAATTAAGTTAATATCAGCAAGGCTGGGAAGATTTTCTCCTCTTTCATCACATACACAGAAAAACCAGGACCCACAGACTGAAGTGCAGGAGAGAGGAGGGAGCGCTGCGCACACACTGACTGGTCCCCTCTTTGCTCCCAGTGCTTTCCAGGCTGCAGCTTTCTTGGGGGGGGGGCACCTCCCTGCCGG